AGACACTTCCAATTTTATGCGGGAGAAAACCCGAACAACCAAAGACCTACATACAAACACCCGCAAAAACCTCAGAAAACATATATATACATATATATATTCAATAATGATGGTAAAAATGCGACTCCTGGCATAATTATAAAAAATACTTTTACTTTTAACTCTCCTAGTGATCGTGTATTATTCATTCTATTTACACACACACACACACACACACACATATACCATATTCCTTCTCTTAACTATAAACCTTTAAAGCCTTGTCCTTCAGTCCTGAGATAACAATGGCAAATCACTAGGCACAGATGGTCCTTAAAGCTATCCAGTCTTGTTAGGATTCCCTTGCACAGTTTCTAGGCACTGGGAAAGCCGATGATGTTATTCATACAGGACACAGATGATGTTATCCACATGAAGTTTCTTGAACCTAGCTCCATTATCAACCCCGATTTGCTACACTGCAGCGCTATAAGAATCTGCAATCCAGCTTAAGAAGAGACCACCCTTTGTATTTGATAGAACGTTACATATTTTCTGCAAAACAATTACAAATTATATCTGGAAATCAATGTTTGTCCACATAGCCAAATTCATGTAAAGAATGTATACTTCACCATGGCTAGTCCATTGAATATCAATGGAAAATGACCATTATTTCACTTTTCTGTGCTTGGCCCTAATGAGTAGTGAAACACAGTTTATACTAGTGTATATAATGTGTGTCAATGCTGCTAACATTGGATGTTCCTGCTTTGACAACTGATAAAAATGCAGCCATTTTCTCTTCTCCTTTACTATGCTTTTCCTTGCTTTTAGAAATCAGGTGCAGCAGGGGGGGTTGGAATGAAAGCTCAGCTAGCCATAATAATAACATTGCTGTGGGAACCCAAGGACAAGCTGATAATGTTTTGGTGGGCTGAGGAGCTGGGGAGAAAGCCCAAGCTTTTAGCTAATTGGGGAATTTGATTTATGACAGTTTATTGGGGGTGGGAATAGCACTTTGTTACTTTGTATCTGGAGGAAGGGAATTTAGTTTTTGGGTTCAACTATGTAGTGCCGATACTTTGTTTCCCGAATAAAATGTTCTTTAATGAAGAATTTTGCCTGGAAGTTCTTTTGATGGGTTTCATCTATCGGAACCATGACAATGTGCACATGTTCTCATGGCTGTCACAAAGAGGCTTCTTTAAAGAAATCAGATAATTAACATTAAAAAAAAAAAAACATTGTGAGACAGTCTTTCTAAAGTTCAGGTACCATAGGAATCCAAAGGTTCATTACTACTGGTTTATACTAGATAACACAACTTGGAATTTATCAGGACAAGAGCTGATAAACATCTGAAGTTCAACAGGTTCACTTTCCTCACAAAAAAAGGTGTTAGCATCAAACAGACAACAATATATGGCTCCAAGAATACATTAGGGTTGGAACATTATAATTGTGTAAGCTTAGTGTACTTACAATACAAAATAATTTTTACATTTTGTATCTTATTTCTAGGAAGAGTTCATCGTGTGTTTCCTTTGATGCATTTTATTATGAAATATGGTTTAATAATTGAATTCCTAGCACTGGAATCAATGGGATGTGAACATTTATTTAGCCCATTAGTGTTTAGGACATTATTAGAAGGATAATAGCATAGTGCATTATAAGCATTAGGAGGAAAAAAAGTCTGTAAATATATAATTACATTTGAATATTACAGCTGTACAAAATCAGGTAAATGAAATTCAATTTTCAACTCTCTTAAATGAGTTATTTTCATCCAAAGTAAATTAGTGTGATGAATGCTTACAGAGCTGAGCCTTCAGTCCAAAGAACTATGTATTTCCTGATTCCCCCTCCCCCCAAAAAGTCCTCTTTAGAGATGTAAGTGTTTCTCCTTAACACTATGATACAAGGCTTGAGTGGCTGTTACACCATGGTTGAATCAGCACCAATCAGGAAGAAACAAATGTATAAACTATCCCATTTTATTTTAACAATTCTCCATTTCTGATCCATATCTATTTCCCACTCCTAAAATACAGGGTACAAAGAATTTCTGGGGAACAAGAGCATAATAAAAACCTTCCACATATCTTGTTCCATGATTGCTAAGATTCAAGGCTGATGCAGCTTCGTAAAAGCAAAGCATGGTTTTGCTTTATCACCTTATTAGGGTAGTGAATCAAACAGTTAATGTTTGTAACAACTGGGTCAATTTTTTTTTTCTCAGAATGGGGAATGGGGAGATTCTGTACATTTTTTTGAATTTGATGGTTCTGTCAAAAGGATGTTCTTCAGGCATTATAACATAATATCCATCATGCCCTGAATAATCTGCATACTTCAGTTCATTGTATATTAGCTAAGTAATAAGTTTGTTATTCCATATGTACTATCCTGAAACATGCTGTTGTCAAATGTAGATGACCCATTGTTTAGAGCAGATGCGTCCAGCCCATAGGCTGCATGTGGTCCTGGACAGAGAGTAATGCAGCCCATAAGATAATAAAAATATTAAAAAATAAAAGAGTTGTTATTTTTCTGCATTAACTAGATTATATATCTTATATACATTCTAAGACAATTCCTTTTCATTCAATGTAACCTTGGCAAGCCAAAAAGAGTGGACAACCATGATTTAGAGGCTTTAAGCTATCTATCGGTAGAATCCCTTTCTGTCAATTAATAGCAGAAAAAAGGGTTGTTGTAGTTTTTTTTCTTCCTGCTCTGCTCTTTTCTCTCTAACTCAGTTTCATGAGATGTACAAAATTTGCCCTTCCCTTCTCTCTTCTACCATTTCATCATTTCCCCAGTCACTTTGGAAAGGAAACCCTCATACTCGTCTTTCTGCAAAACTCTTAACTATTGTGCTTTTTTTCAAAAGCATATTTATTAGAATCTGTTAGATCAAGATCAACAGGTAGTCCTAAAGTTTATGGCCACAACTGAGCCCACAATTTATGTTGCTAAGTGAAACATTTCCTAAGTGAGTTTTGCCCCATTTTTATTACCTTTCTTGCCATAGTTGTTAAGTGAATCCTTGCAATTGTTAAGTTAGTAACAGGGTTAAATGAATCTGCCTTCCCCATTGACTTTGCTTCTCAGAAGATCGCAAAAGGAAATCACGTGACCTTGGGACGCTGCAACTGTCGTCAATATGAGCCAGTTGCCAAGTGTCTCAATTTTCATCATGTGGGATGCTACAACAGTTGTTAAGTTGAGAAATGGTCATAAATGACTTTTTTCTGTGTCATTGTAACTTTGAATGGTCATTAAATGAACTGTTGTGAATCAAGGACTACCTGTATTGCCACAATTGTGTGGGTATGGGTCCTCTGTGAAGTTTCCATGAACTGTTGGAGTCCCTAAGGAAGTACAAAACTTCAGCCAAAACAGGACAAGATCCAAAATGACATCAAAATAGAAGATTATTTTCAAACCACAATAGGAAAACATGTTAGAATTTGCAATGAGAGGGAGATGGGAAAGGTGATGACATCTTTTTAAATCTTTTTTAAAACAGTTGCTGTCCCATTTTATTTCCCAGACAGGGAAATGAAGCAATGCCCATAAACCCACACTCAGTGAGTACAATTGTTCAACCATCCCTTTTCTGTTAGAGTTCTGTGGAAAACTTAGATGACTGCTTTCTGTAAATCAAGGTATACTGTGTCAATCATATTCCTTGTTCAACTAAACTGCCCATTATTTGAAAAAAGAAAAAAAAGTTTGTATTGGGAAAATATAATCTTGATGAACACATGCTGGGTCCTGCCAAGCAGTGCACTATTTTCTACTGCCAAGAAATAGCTGCTTAATAATGATTTCCAGAGTTTTGCTTAGTAAGAGTTTGGCTGGATCCAACTTTTTATAAACTGCACTATTAAAGGCTGTTTGTAAATTCCGGACATTCTTTAAAGCAAAGTTTTAATTGCTCAGAATATTATTTCATGTTCTGATAATAAACTACTTCAACAAGTTGGTTATTTGCATATTCAGATTTAACATGCAAGATTACAGAACAGTAAACCTTTTAAACTCAGTACAAGAAATAACAGGACAGAAAGGTTAACACTATTGTTGTCTCTTCTTCTAGGCAACAAATTATAACAGCAGCATCAAAAATCATGTGTAATTAACTACCTAGGTGGATTTATAGCAAAACCTATAGGGGCAAGGGGAGTGCTTTGAATGTGCCAAAGGTTTCTTAAATGTAAGCTTCATTTCAAACTTTCTTGGGATGGACTGGCCATACTTTGCTACATAATATGTAAATATTTTTAAAAGAAGTCCCTTATGTTGTTAATTTTATGGAAGTTGTGATTGTTTGCATATGTGCCTGTATGTTTGTATGCATTCTCAGGGTGTCTCTAAGCTTTAGCACCATTCTTGTGATATGTCAAATGTTCAACTTTGTTTCGATTTATACAATACAAAAAGGATCGATAGATAAAGTAGAAGAGAATGTAGCTCAGAGCTCAACTGCTCTGCTCTGAACAACTTGGTGTTCTTTGAATTTGGTTATTTGCAAACATTTCATTTCCCAATTATGTAACACCATCAGTGCAAGTAAGTGTGGCATTTGTTCCTGGTTTATGTAGAGTAGCTTGCCCTGCCAGTTTTGCTGAGGGTGTGGTTTAATTTTTGTTAATTCATTGATTAGGGTATTGTTTTCTCCCTGATTGGTTGTCTGCTGTTAATCCCTGCTTACCTGGGTACTTGCTGCTGGAAATAATATTTTCTGGTGCTTTTTTGTTTTCTTCTTAGCTTTTTTATTCCCTTCTTGAATGATATTTAAATGTGGTTTATATTTATGTGTCTATTGATGGCTGGTTTATCTGAATGCCAAGCTTCCAGGAATTCCCTAGTATTTTTTTGCTTTGGCTTGGTCTAAGTTACTAACAGTTTCTCAGTTGAAATGGTGGTTGTAAGATTAAGCATCACATAAGCATGTGTTGTGAGGTAAAGGAATTTTCAGTGCATCCAAAACACCAACCAACAATCAGAAAACACAATGAAAACTCCCTAATCTGGGAAACTACTGTATACTGGACAATTAGATGAATGAAAAATGTATTTCATATTCAGTTTTATAAACTAAAAAGTGGCCATCAAACCAATCAAGGGTTTTAAGTAAAAGGGGGAAAAACCCATACCACTCTGGATTAAAAGTCAAGCTTTTAATGTGTATTCAGAAAAGTTAGCTATCAAAATTTCTTCTACGATTTCTCTTTCCTACATGGTTCTATGCCTTAACTTGTGGCAATGATTTCCAGTCCCTTTATTGCTCTCATTTACTGTTGTGTGGCAGGAATGGATTCTGAAAAGTTGAAGTAAATAGAAATGATTAGAGATTAAGTACCCATATGTTGGAAAGCAATATATAATTGCACTGGCAGTGGACCTGACTTCCATGTAGGAATTTGATTCTGGGTTAAGTGGCTTTCAGACAGTTATGATTCTGTGCTGCCAGCTTTCATAATACAGGTATGACTGGTCATTTAGTGACCGTTTGAAGTTACAAGTTCCAAAAAGCTATTTATGACTCAGTTTTAGAGTTCAAACAGCTGCACCACCACCTTAGTCACATGACCACATTTTGGTGCTTGGCAACCAGCTGATCTTTATGGCTGGTTGCAGTATTCCATTGTCATGTGACCACATTTACAACATCTTTTGCTGGTTTCTAAACTATTGGGTTGGTTTCTGGCAAAAAAATAACCACTCCTATGAATATATTGATTTGCTTAACGACTGCTGTATTTGCTTAAGGACTGCCCAAAAAGTCATAAAATTTTTGTTTTGATTTGTTCATGTGGGTGTCTCAAATTATGTCTGTCATGATGTATGACTGAAATTCAGGGCTCCATTACAGTTGTAAATCAAGGACAACCTATAGTCAAATCAATTAGGGAGGGACTTTAGAAGCTTCCTTGGTACTGAGTCCATTTAGTTCAGGGCTGTCTACACTGATTTGACAGTGTTTGTCTAAGATTTCAACTGGAAATTTTCCTAGTCCAATCTCAAAAATCTTCTGCAATGGAAAATATACTGTAGTATATTTCCTCTTGCTATTACAGTGATACCTTAATAATCAATGGCTTTGAAACTCATTGAATTTGGTACTTAGTGTATTTTGATGCAAAATGTTTGTTGCAGTATTCATAGTTTGTTTGGTATTCAACACTTAAAGTAGAACTTGTCAGTTTTGGCTGCCTTGTGACTCACTACATTATTCCTTATGGGAAAAAATTGTTTGGTATTCATAATTTTTGGTACTCATTGCACCTCCCGGAACCAATTAACAATGAGTACTGAGGTACCATTGTAGTATTATTTGTTTATTTAGAGAAGCCAAAATGAGTCAGGTCTAGGAATGCTGGATAAATCAGTTTGGTTTTCATTTTCATGCAAATTTACCCAGTTCATATTTCTTGAACTTATATGCATGTTGAGATACAGTTCTACACTGACATTTGCACTTTTCAAAAATTTGCAACAAAATTTTCACAAAAATGGACGTAAGAAAGTTCATAAACATTTATAGAGAACATTAAATTCAAAATATATATTAGGAAAAGTGCATATAAAATGCACATAATTGAAGTTATGAATATAAATATTTAAATTTTCTTCTTAGAAATAATAATATATTCATGAATAGATGCAGAAGTTAAATGTAATGTACTTGAGGCTGGAAAGATGAAAAATTGTGTGAAATAGAAGTTGACAGATTCGCTCATCATAATTCAGCGCATTCCTTTTCTGGTGCGGGGATAACTACCGAATTTCCATGACATTTCTGATTGTATCTTCTTTGGAGAATATTTCCATAAAAAGAAAAAAGACATATTAATCAACCAACCACATGTGAGACATACTGTAACTATGTATTCCTACCATGTTTTAAATTACAGATTAAGTTTGATAAAAAATTTAAATCACATTCAGTTACAATGGGAAATATGTACTTTTTCCAGTTATCATTTGATTCCTCCAACTAGCTCTTAGGTCTCTTTTCCTCTTAAATGCAAGATTCGATTTGAAATATATACATATTCAAGCTTAGCTGTTCCATTAGGAAAAAAATGGTATACATTAAATAAAATAAATTGAATTGAATTTGTAACAAATTGAAAATAGGACAAACAACTGCCACTGATTTGAGTGGGAATATCTTGTCAACAAAGGATTAATAAAGCATGCTGCAAAATACCTCTGGTTAACTGAGAAAACCTGAAGGCCACAGAATGGTATAGATGTTTGAATAGAAATACTTCACCGTTTATCAGATAAATAGAAATGAATGTTGCTGGTTTCTGTAATTTGATTAAACAATGCAGTGAATACTTACTGTTTCCCTTAAAAAACTCTTGATTTTTTTAGATGATGTGGGATTTACCATCCAAGGAAACTAATGCCTATTTCTTGAAGCTGACCCTTTCTGCAGAAGAAAGTAAAGAAATGCTGGAGCTATTGCAAAACTATTGCAAAAAAGAATATAACTTACCATTAACCCAGCAGAAAACATTCCACAATATTGGCAAGTCAAATGGGTGAAAGAGATCCTGATCGTAGACTCTAATTTCATGGCAAAAGAAAAGCCATAAATATATAGAGATTGTCATGGGGAAAGGCATTATGAGTAGATGAGCTTGTTGACTAACAAGAAACTGATTAGCTTGCTGTCATATCTTTAACAGCAAACTGAATTGTGAAAATCAGTAGGTGAAGCTTTCTGTAGTGGGGACTGAGGAAGTACATCTGGTTTCTTATTCATGGTTTTGCACCAATATATTGAACAATGTGCAGCATATATTTTGCATTGATTGCATACTCTTATTCAGATACCACATTGCTTAGAGTCAGATTAAATAATATTCGATTTTTAAAATTAAGAAAAATAAGTAAGGTTATGGAGGCCAGTTAAAAATTGGCAACCTGAGTAAACAAGTGCTGTCAAGTCAGTCTTGACTGCTGGCAACAGGCAGCATATGTCCATGGATTTTCTTAGCAACATTTTCAGAAGTGGTTTGACATTACCTTCTTTCTAGGGGTAAGAGAAAATGGCTAGCTTCATATCTAAAGTGGTACTAGAGCTGATGGTCTCCTAGTTTCTAGCCTAGTGCTAAAACCAGGCCACCAGCTGGCTAGTACCGTGTTTCCCCAAAAATAAGACCCAACCAGAAAATAAGCCCTAGCATGATTTTTTAGGATGCTCGTAATATAAGCCCCCCGCAAAATAAGTCCCAGTTAAGATTGTCAGCCAAACAGATGCATTTAGTACTGTATTTCCCCCAAAATAAGCCCTAACCAGAAAATAAGCCCTAACGAGTCTTTTGAAGCAAAAATTAATACAAGACCCGGTCTTATTTTTGAGGAAACATGGACAAATTATAAACTGAATGACAATTAGATTGTTTCTGCTGCTCTCAATAACTAATTCAGATAATTGTATTATAGATCATTTCACCAGCTATAGTTTCAAGCTAGTTCAAAAATTTTCATGTATAACAAAAAGAAAAAAGAAATTAAGACTTTCCAAAGACCTTTATGATAGCAGTGGGGGAGGGGAGAAGATTTGCAGTTTTTATGTCTAAAAAGAAAGAAGCTGTTGGAAACTTAATGTGGCATAAGAGATGTGCCTGTCCTGGAAGTCTTCTAAATTTAACTGGATAGAGCCTGCTTATGTTTACTGGAGAGCCCCACAAAAAACAGACTTTCTTTCCATTATTATGGCTTCAACACATGAGGGCTTGATAGTCAAAGCAGCTACTGGCTCAGAGCCCTGAATGAAATTAGGTATGTGCCATCTGGCTGAGAAAATTGCCAGGTGGAGCTCACTACTCTATACACAATCCAGATTGATCCTTATCATGCGTGCTCAAAATTCAGACTTCAGTTTACGGTGACAGAAATTTGAACTTTATAACTTCAGATAGAAAGTGAATGAGTTAAATGTGACAATATTCCATTTCCTGTATGTAATTTACTGGCCAAGCTTGGACAAGAGTAAATATTTCCTGTTGATTCTGGTTTGATTATAATACATAGAAGGGTCCATGAGAAGAAACTCAAATCTCCAGAACAAGGGGGTAAGGGCACAAAGAGGGTGGAAAATTAGCCACCAATTTTATTTTAACAGATATTTTTAGCACTGCAAGGTAGCCCAGACAAGAAACTGCAACCAGGAGTACTAGTACTTTCTTTATTGTAAGGATATACTAATAGAATTTTGCAAGTCTGACAATACCCTCCCCTCCTCTCCCTAATTTTTACTCTCCCAAAAACTAGGAAGGCCTTTTTCTGAATTCCTTTTTTTCCTTCAGACTCAGATTTCATTGATCTGACCATTTTCTAGGCTCCAGCTCTTTCTCCTGTTTCCCAAGGTCACTCCCATATTACACATACAGGGAGAACTGTTATCCAGGTATCATAACTAACAGCTGGTGAAAGCAAGTCCTGGTAAAGTAATACTTCTTCACATCTCCACTGTGGGATAGTAATGCCCACCTTTCTCTCTGGGCACCATTCTAACAGGGAAAAAAAAAGAAAGTTTACTCTTCTCTTGGCTTCATTCCATAGAGTAACAGTGTGTGGGTGATGGCAGCATCCTTAAACTGACAGGTCACTGCATAGCCTGGAAGGACAACAATTATCAAGTGAGAAATGAAATGGCTCTTGGCAGATATTGTTATGGCATGTATAATGAACATCCGTAAGGTACAGCATCAAAATGACATGGTTCATTGCATGTTGGCACTGCTCTGGTTTCTACACACATATTCCCAAAATAAGCATCCTGTCCAATAAGAATTCATGTATTGCATTCTGCCTTCTGAAGGATCTCACTAAACATTTATAAAATGTCAGAATATATTACTGTAATTCTCTCTTTGTTAGCATAATCTTAAAAACTATAAAGCCATCTTCCTGAGCACAAAATACTTGCACTCTTTTTCTTGTCAGCAATCCTTAGAATAAAACAGTGGATTAATTAACACACAGGAGAGCTAATTGAATCCTTTTTATAAACTTATTTAATAACATCTAATACAGAGAGCAATTTTCTTTCCAACAGGGGAAATGCAAATATAGAGCTGTGAAGACACACAGAAGACACATAATATACTCACCTTATAACACAGCATGAGAGAAAGAATGAAAGATTCATTTTATTCACATATTAGTGCCTGAGCATAAATTCTTTTTCCTGATCTAAAGTAAATGTATAACATGAACTCTCTTCCTCCCATTCCTTATTTTCCCATGAGAAACATTATCTGCTTGAAAATCACAGAGTTGATTTAGAGAGTGGCTGAATTTTTTAACCTAGCTTTCTTAAATAGTTTTATTTCTTTATAAAAATTTATATGCCCCTACTCAAATGATTCTTGATGACTTATAATACAAATTAAAACAATAAAGTACCTAACTGTAGTTCACTGCTATAGAGACTAAAGGAGATGACTTTAATAGAATTATGTAAGAACTTTGCCTAGGCAAATATGGTTAAAACGTTCTTTAAGTCCTGTGAAGCAAGATAATATTCAGCAGCAGCTCAGGCAAATGCCTCCCTCATTTACTCAGATGTAGGAAGAAGGGGAGATTAAGCACAACCAGGCTTGCAAAGTTCTGTTACTACTGTATATCCTATCTCATTCTTCCTGCGGAGTTGAATTTTCGATATGGTCTACTTAATAGAGCTGACAAACTGTCCTTTAATTAAAGCCTTAATGGAACACATTCGGTATTTACAAGTTTTCTAAGGCTAAAAGGGTGGGAGCGTGAGATTCATAATGTTCCAGAGAAGGGCCTACAGCTGAGAATGTTGTTTTCAGGGCCCCAATCTCCCATGATTTCTTGTAGGATAGGCACTCAAAGAATCTGTTCTATGTTAGAACATGTAGTAGATAGGTAGATCTACTTCAAGTAGATGGTCCTAAAAATAGCAAGTGCCTAAGCCACATGTTTGGGGTAAGAAAAGAAAAAAATACCATAAGAATAAGAACATTTTCTTTATTTTTAGGAAAGAACATAACACACAGAATAGGGTTTTTTATGGTTAAAAAATAAGAAACCAAATCATTGTGGTCTCTTATTATATCCATAAGAGTTTGTTGTTTATCTTCCAACGTGATCAAAGGCATTTACATAGAACAGTTCCAAATAGAAGAAAACACACACAGAGACACACACACACACAAACACGTGTGTGTGTGTGTGTGTGTGTGTGTATGTGGAGTTCTAAGTGCTCTTTGAGATTGGTTGTTTGCTTGCAGATGTTTCATTACCCAATTAGGTAACATCATTAGTGCATCACTGCACTGATTACCCTAGTTGGGTAATGAAATGTCTGCAAGCAAACAACCCAGCTCAGAGAGCACAAAAGACTCCACAAAGAACAGTAAACTCCAAGAAACAGCATGGAAAAGTTGGAGAACAATGCTAAGGGAAAAAAAATCTGTTCTATACTCTTCTATATTTAACGAACCCTGAAGCTTGCTAACTTCATCAACTCCTAAACACTATTTTTGCTATCACTAAAGACTGTAAGATCACAAAAACTTACCAAATTTGATGACACGTTTCTAGGTTTTAGCAGTGTGACCAGTGGTGGGATTCATATATGTGAATAACCGGTTCTCTGTGTGGATGCCGCTTCTGGCATCATTTCCTTATCACTGCACAGGACCAGAAAAGTTCCAGTCCTTCATCCTATCCCACTGCTGCTAGCACTTAAAATATATGGTTTTCTTACTGCCTTACTGCCTCTTTCAGTAGGTCTCCTAACAGTTATAGTTCACTTGCTCTGGGAAAAGAGACATTGCTTGTTTCTGTAGCTCTTCCTGGTTTATATTGCTTATAGGACATGCTGCTGTTTATCCTCTATTTTTGTTATGGGTCTGTCTGATGAGTCAGACTCTGAATTGGAAAAACAGGACTTAAATGGTAAGTGCAGCTGTGCCATTAGTGTCTTTCAAATGTCTTGATCAGCTATTTCTGCAATTCCTAACTGGGCTGATGGGAACTGAAGTCAAAAATATCTAGAGAACAACAGTCTCTTTAGATCAATATATCTGAACTAAAATATCAACAAAGAAATAATAGCTCCCAGCATACAGTAGCAAGAAAGCATTGAGTACCATATGTAGTAAACTGTCAGTCCTTGTGTACTGCTTATATTGGAAGAATTCCTTCATCCTAATCAGAATAGAGAAGAATCAGAAAAATTCTGAGTCTTCAAAATCACAGTCAGAGTCCTACAGTAAGAAATATTGGTACAAATGTTGCTTTTTTCTGTAAGATGGGCTACTGTACAAATTTGATTAATAAATAAACTTTATTTTTTTTAAAAAAATACAACATTGAACATTTTCAGAAATCATGAGGAGAATTCAACAGTTCTGTGATAAGCAAAGTAATATGGTTATCTTAGAGGAAGTTACTTAAGACTGAGCTCATACAGTTTAAAGTTTAATTGGGATGGACAGAAGTGTGACATGTGGTGAGGTACCATTTAGTAAAAAGTTGGCAATGATGGGACTCCATTATTCCAGAGAGTAGAAATGTAACATGAAGTTTCTTCTCAGCCCTCAAAGTTTGCTTGTTTATGGTTTAGTGCTATTGTTCAAGTCTCATATCAAGAACTTTAGTATTCTGCTTGAATTTCATGCTAAGAAGCCCACTGAAAGTATTCTTATCCTTTTCCCAGTTAAGTCCCATTCTTCCTAGTCTGCATTAAGACAAAGCATCTGGAATTAAGCCAAGGGTAAGACTGAAATTATATTGATTGATACAAGAAAGTGATTATTCATAGCATTCTACATTGCTTCTAGATAGTGGTGGCGAACCTATGCCACACATGGCGGAGGTAGCACTCAGAGCCCTCTCTCTGGGCACGGGCACCGTCACCCCAGCCCCACCTTCTCCCACGGCCCCCTCCTCACCAGCAGCCCCCCTAGAGGAGAGTTGCCCCGGGTATGGCTCACATGGAACAGCACAGCCAAGGACATGGCAGCCAGGCAGCGGGGACAAGACTCCACCCTTGTGCCCCGTCACATGCAGATGATGCTGAGGGGTGCAGGCAGAGGGCGTAGCCACCATGGTGCTGCTGGGCCACCTGGGTGATCTGCGGCAGGCTGTGGAGGCAGTGGATGGCCCAGTCTCTGAAAGGTTCGCCATCACTGTTCTAGATGCTACTAAGATGCAAATGAATAGCTGGATTGAAAGATAGTTTAAGGAGTTCCCAACATTTCTGCAAAATGGCAGGTGAAGACATTGTTCTAGCCGGTTGCTACAAATTGCTTCTTTTATAGCAAAACCCTTTTTACATGAAAGAACCTTAATAAAATTTAAATAAAAGACTAAACAGCACCATTCCAAAAATAAATAAATGACATACCACAATCTGAACTCCCTCTGAATGTAATATTTTTCCCCTCCTCTCACATGAAGGGGCCTCAGGTTATGAATCTTTGACTCCTTAACAAGTCAGAGGCCTCTGTTTAGAAGAAGAGAGCCTGATCACAGAGACTGAAATATTTTTCTTCCGTCAGATTTTGCAGGAAAATGCAAGTTATCTCGCTTTGCTCTTAATTCCCTGTCCCGCTGAAAACCTCTGTGCAGCAGAGAATAGTTATGTAAGTAAACCTAGATTAGCATAATTATTAATCATTCATCTTTTGTCCACTTATTTCCTCTCCTGTAGGAAATTACCCACTACTCAAGTTCAAGTATGATAAGTGCTATTCTCCACAACAATCCATTAATCTCCAAACTTTCAAAAGGGCTCTTACATGCTTTTTGTGTTTCTACTTTCATGTCGCTGCTTGGTCTAGATGCATCTCTAAGCAAACTGAACACTTGCAGAGTATCCATGTGGAAATTAGGGTATTAGGAATTATTTTATGGCAGGGAGATTTGCTGCGTGGGGAAGGTCCCCTTGTGATGAAACCTAAGTATTTCAGCAGTTTATTCAACCTTTGCGTGTAATAGTTAACCATTTTCTTGACCTCCTTTTTGAGATCAGGATTAATTCCCTGCAAAGCATAATATCGTATGCTGGTTCTGACTTATAGAAACACACTATAGAAATATAATGAGTATCCCTGAAAGCTGAATTACATTTAAGGCAGAAAAAATAATAATAATAATAGGAATCATACTGTTAGAGCTCCAAAGCTGAGAAATGTCCCTCTGTGTTCAGTCAGTGTCTTTAACATGAATCTCACTCTGCAGTTATATTTTGGTTAGACTGCATAACTAACATCTGAGCCATGTTGGACCATGCAACAGAAGCAGTTCTAATCTAATTATATGAGAGTATGATCTCTTCAGTATGAAGAAAGGCCTTAGGTGAGTTCATTTTAATATTATTCAGTTTGTTCAAGATATAGAATGTCTTTCCAAAGGGCACCAACTTGGTGTCTTCCTGTTACTTGTTTGTTTGTTATTATTCAAACTTTAACTTTCTTGTTTTAAAAAATATTTTCTTGCTGACTGAGCTGCAGATCTGGCTCATGAGATGATCTGGGGAAAGTTTTCCAGAACATTGTTTGCTGTTGTTATTGTTTGCTGTTACACTTAGAGACTTTTAATAGCTTTTTGTGTTATCTGAATTTCACAGTTTGCTTTGTTCTACTACATACATTGTGACTTTTGTAGAATTTGTGCACCGCCTCTGGTACTTTTAGGTTAGGTGTCTTCTTTACAATTAGCATCTGTTTATACTGCTTTTGAAAGAAGATATTACCTATTGGCTCAGCTGATACAAAACCTGAATGCTTATGATCAGTTCCTCAATACAACGCCATCCAATTTCTGCAAAGGAAAGTGGAACATTTGGTAGGATTACAATCTCAATTCAGATAACATTATGAGACATCCAGAGAGTAGTTCTCCCTCACCCCATAATATATGACATTCTATTTACACGTGTTGTATCATATATCATATAATATTTGTCATGAGAAGATCTTACAATGGAGTCCTAAGCACATTAATTGGGGCAGAAACTGCAAAATGGTTTAACTTACTTTTTAATTGCCTCTCGTGTGTAATGACCCAAATAACGATTGCCTTATAATATACCTAATTTCATTTTATGTTTGTATAGTTTTGTACATAATTTGTCTTGTAAAAAAGTGGCACTAGACTCTAAGGTCTAACATAAAAAATGTGAGGAGACTCATTATTAATCCGTGCTACTCAAAATTCCAAGAGCTGAGTTTTCTTCTCTTAGGCATTTTTTTTTTTAAATGTGATAAGTAGCTAATGTGGTAGAAATAAATAATAAGATCAATAAGGTCAATGTGAAATGCACACTGATCATTGCATATACATATTTACACATATTTGATATAATTATAGTATTTTGACTTAGAATCAAAATAATGCAAACTATCCTTAATTTCTAATTTTCATGCGTGCCTAATTAATCCTTTGTAACTTAACAGAAAGGCAACTTTCATTTTCTGAACTTGACCATCTATAACTTTTGATTAGTTATTTTCTTTAAAAAGTTTCCAAAATGATAACCACAGTAGACTATTGCAAGAAAAAATAATCATCATTAGTGAGAGGCAGATTAAATGAATATCCAAGGAATATCAGAAATTAGGCATTGTATAGTGCCATGGAAAATGTACTTGGAACTTATTTTGCTGTAGGGAATGTTATGCATGAAACAGTTGACTTAGATGAAAATCCCAAACACATTTAAGATAAATATTTAAACCAACTGGAAATCACAAATCTAATATTAAACGCTAAATTATGCTAATTTTGTTGTCAGTGGAAATACAGTCACTGCTTATCATAGTCCCATTCAACTATTTGAATGTATATTTTAAAATATTAGTTAGAATGAGTATGTTCTTTATTATACGAATCTGCAATTATTAATTTGGGTGTCTGATACTATATAACCTAGCATTAAATTTGACACCTTTTTCACTCATCCTATCATTGTATTAGATCAGGCTAAATATGTTTAGAAGATGATAACAGTGTACAAAATCTATGTTTATGAATTCAATTGTGCTGAGAAAAGAAACCCTAAATTACAGTATTATTCACTAAATTTTGGAGAACAGTTTCTTTGGAAGGGGAAGATATTTGTATGAAAGTGTCTGGTGGAAGAGACACTGAGAATGAGAATGAATGATAATTAAGTTTCTTTCTCAAATGAGGCCATGTAGTCTGGGAGTTGAGGAATTTCCATAGGATTCTATGGCACAACAAAATCCTTTTGTGCAATCCATATGCAGATACATTTTGGTTTAGCTAAACAACCATGCAAAATCTTATTTGAAGGTATTTGGGATGTAAAGGTTTTGTTTGTTTGTTTATTTATATGTTACATGCAATTACTGGATAAAGTCCATTTTTTTCCAAAGCAGTACTGTTTATGTATTAACATTATTGCTTTTGTGCATACATTAGTGCAGTGGTGGGATTCAAATATGTGAACAACCAGTTCTCTGTGTGGATGCTGCTTCTGAAAGTCCATTCTGGACCTGGGCAACAAAAAATTAGCTACCGGTTCTGCCGAACTGGTGCGGACTGGCTGAATCCCACCACTGCATTAGTGTCACTTCAGTTGTGCGTGCATTTATGTTCTGTCCTCTGTACACATACTGGATTTAGTGGTGAATAGAAAAGGCAACTCTTGTGTTTTAACAGATTTTGCATTAAATTTATTGTTTTATTATATTACTGTATAGACGTTACAAAATTGTTTCTATTAC